AGAAGCCCTCCCACTGTTGTCCCCCAAGCACCAATTGCTGCCTCAGATAAAGCATAACCCTTCATAAAGCATACCCCTTTCCCACCCTACCTGGATGGGAATATGTGCGTCTACTCCCCCCAACTCAGCACAACAGACCATTTAGACAACCAGATCCCTATACAATCCCAACAGACAATATTTTACCCTCCAATTAGAGAGATCGTTTTTTGGAGCAGATCTAACAAAATACTTGCTCCTAAGCACACATTTATTTATTTATTTTGAATTTATGAGGCTTCAATTCTAGGCAGCCATACTTAGCCTCTGTTTTTGATGGATCTTACTTTTGAGTAAATACGTACATAGGCTCAGGCACCATAACCTAGTGTGTTTGGAATCACAGCCACACATTCTCCACGCATTTGAGGCAGCTGTCAGAACAACAGGCAACAGTGTATATACTAACTTGAGCTCACTGGAACTAGGCCAGGATAAAATGTGATGACTAGATGTACCTGGTAATGCCTGACTACTGATACAGAAGTTGCTTTTTCATTGTCTTAAACTAAAAATAGGATTCCACATGTATATGATGATGCTCTTATTCCCAAAAACTGCTGCTGGAATAAATGTTTTCAGTCTTTAAGGTGCCATTGGACTCTTGTTTTATTTTGTTGCTGCAGAGTAACATAGCTACCTATCTAGATTTTTCATCACATGTAAACATGATAGCTTTCGCCCATCTCATGAAATGTGCCATGTGCATTGGCTGAAGATTTGGTGACAACAAAGAGAGTAAGAACATAAGAGAAATCATGTTGGATCAGGCCGATGGCCCATCCAGTCCAACACTCTGTGTTAACATAGTGGCCAAAAACCAAGTGCCGTCAGGAGGCCCACCAGCAGGACCAGACTCCAGAAGCACCCTCCCTCCTGTTGCCCCCCATCACCAAGAATACAGAGCATCACTGCCCCGGTCATAGGGTTCTATCTATACCTTATGGCTAATAGCCACTGATAGTGCTCTGTTCAATATGTTTATTTAATCCCCTCTTGAAACTGTCTGTGCTTGTAGCTGCCATCACTTCCTGTGGATTCCACATGTTAATTACTCTTTGGGTGAAGAAATACTTTCTTTTATCTGTTCTAAACTTACTGCTCATTAATTTCATTGAGTGCCTACAAGTTCTTGTAGTGTGAGAAAGGGAGAAAAGTACTTCTTTCTCTACCTTCTCTATCCCATGCATAATTATCCTACAGGGTGCTTTTTTGTGGCAGAGTATCCTACAGGGTAGCTTAGTGTGACAGTTTTACATTTTCACAGTGCAACACACATCTATTAATATAGCCAGTAGTGAAAAAGAATTGGATTGTCCGAGTATGGAGCAGCCAAACATTTGATCCAAGTTCCTTGTCAAAGATAAAGTGTACCCTGTAACATGATGGGGGGGGGGGAGTAATCCAATATGTATTGCTGATTTTCCAACACACATGCACTTGTCCTGGACTCAGCAGTGGAAAGCTACCTTTGGACTAGGATTAAAGAAGAATGTGAGAAGATGTGGAGCTGAAACTCAAGGGACCCTCCATATGGTATAACTGAAGTGAAGTCACTGATTAGGTCTTTGTGAGTACGTGTGAAGGGGTATATAATGCAGTTCCAGGTAATATAACTCGTCCGTTCTGGGCCAATCCTACTTCTGTCTTCAGTGTGAACAGGAGAAAGACAGGTTCGAAGACAGTCACCAGGAAACTCATTGGCTTGTTCCTAATTCTGCTCAAGAGGTGGCTTTGGGGTTTAAATGGGATTGTCAAGCACTCTGCACACTGAAGGCTGCTATAGGAAAGATAAAGGTGATTCATGATGGAACCAGGAAACAGAGATTCTCAGCTAAAGAAGTTGTTGGACATCTTTGGCGCTGTGAAAGACAAAGCCCAATTCCCACCATGGGTTTCTGTCAGCTAAATTTTTCATCCTGCCCTTATCTTAAAGAACTCAGGGGGTTGACACAATGCAGTACTGCCCTGCTTCATTCTCTCCTCACAACAACCCTGTAGAGTAGGTTAGGCTAAGGGAGGGACTGCCCAAAGAGTGATTTGAACCCAGATCTTGGTATGAACTGTGTAAGAGTAATCACAGGGCTTCTCACACACATCACACGGCTTCTCAGCCTCAGGTGGTACATTCGAGTCCAGTAGTACCTCAGAGACCAACACGGTTTTCAGGGTATGAGCTTTGGAGAGTCAGAGCTCCCTTTGTCAGATCCCATTGATGTATCTGATGAAGAAAGCTTTTTGACTCTCCAAAGCTTATACTATGAAACTTTTGTTGGTCTCTAAGGTGCTTCTGGACCCGATTCTAGCTGTTGTACTGTAGACCAACAGGGCTACCCCCTGAAACTCTGAACCAGAGCTAGGCTGGGGTCACACACACTAAATAATCCACTTTCTAACTGGATTTTGCCAGTTCACACAGTTGGAAAGTGCATTGAAAGTGGATTATTTAGTGTGTGTGACCCCAGCCCTAGAGTTGTAATGACAGGAAGGGCCCGCCAGACATCGGATCCTTCTCCTGCCTTCTCGGGAAGGCTGTAGAACTGCTTTTCGGATCAGTCTTAGGAGGCGACGAACCTCAGCCCAGCAGCAATTTCGGAATCACCCACGAGGCCATCCTCGTTCTGCCTTCGCGGCGTGACAGCTAACGCAGCAACACCCAAGATTCCGTTTGGAACTTTGCAACACCACCTGGCAACGCCCCCTTCCTTAATCCCCTCCAATCAGGCGTGCCACAAGGGCGTTGCTCCGCTGGGGTTCCGTCCCGCCCTCCACCAGCCTGCTGGCGAGAGCCAATCGGAGGCCGGGCGCTGTTACCATTCCACCTGCGACTCCCGGGAGCTCGTCGAGTGAGCGAGAAAAGCTGACAAAACCCGTTTGTGCGGCGGGCAGTTCTGCGCTCTCTCTCTTCCCTGCTCGGCTCCGCTCTCCCCTCCCCAGTTGCCCGGGCCGCAGCCAATTCCCGTCCTAACCAGCCTGGCCAGTTCTGCCACCCACTGATTGCCAGACATGACACAGGAATACGACAAGTAAGTGATCGAGCTGGGCAGACTGGAAAGGGGAGAGGGAAGGTGGGGGGTGAGTCCGGGCAGGTCCGACCGGTGTTTCTGCCCCCTAACCCACACCCTACACCCACCCACCGCTTCCCGTGGGATTTCATCCCCGCCTGCACTTCCTCCAGCTGCTCTCGCTGCCCTGGGTGAGGAGCCGGGTCCGGGTGGGGGGGGAAAATCGATGTGCGGATTTTGGGTGCTGCGCTGGCAGAGCTAAATTCCCAGCAGGGAAGAATTGCGGGCGCGACAGGTGGGTGACTGGACGCCCCCTCCCTCCCCCTCAGGAGAGCAGAGCTGCTAGTGCTACACGAGGCATCAACTCGAAGACATTTCAGGACTATTTTTATAGAGATACTTTTAAGAAACCGATTCAGCAGTCGGAATGATGACTCCGGAATACCGATCTCTCCCCCCCCCCCCCGGGCCCACGGCCGCCCACGCAGACGGGCGATTTCACCCCCTTAAACTAAGACGGGGAGAAGCCCACTTCCTTCACCATTCTTGGTTATGATGAGGACGCCAGGTTTAGCCTAGCTGAAGCGTCTTCTAAGTGTCTTGCGTGAGACGATCTTGCACCCGTGCTTTTGAGATTAAAAACCAGGCTGTCTCTGATCGGCTCCTCGCCTCCGACGTTGCAGTCCGGAGGTCTACGTGTGTGGAATGGACTTGTGGCACCTGTTGCCGCTCCATCTGCCCCGCAGCGCTAGTGAGTTCATTTCGCAGCTGCCAGTCCCTTTTCTCTTGGTCCCACCAGGTCTTGGCTCCCCCCCCCCCCCCTT